ATAGATAGATAGATAGATAGATAGATAGATAGATAGATAGATATAGGCCTATTATTATTATTATTATTATATATATATATATATATATATATTGTTTAATAAATAAACACTTCCTCGAATAAACCAAAAAAACTTTCGAATAAATAACTTAGCTACTCTATGGTTCGACTCCAGTTCCTCTTGTAAAATACGGTATATGAGTTTAACCAAACAAAAAATAAATGCTTTTGACTCAAATTTTCTTTTCTTTTTCTCATTTCTTAAATTTTGAAAAAAAAAGGGGGGGGGGGCAAGGGGCTGGCCGACTGGAAATCATGATACATCATCCGCTTATTTATACCTTCGCACAGTTCGCAATAATATATGTATTTTTAATACACAAAGACACGTGTTTGACATCATAGCCTGTAATTATGCATTTGAAAAGTATTATCCTCGAAGAAATAATTTAAATAAATACTGATGATGTGTAAAGTGGTAAACGCTGAACAAGCTTAAGGTACAACATAATCATTTAACATAGCCCCCTATGTTAAATTTTAACCCTATCATTACTTTATCGTACGTGCTATACTGGTGGTGATGCTGATGAGGATAATAATGATGATTTATGAAACGGTAGTGGTAAGGAAGGCGATGATGGTGAATATGGCAATCATGAATAGGCTTAAAGAATTGTCAAAAAATCTTATCATTATCATCACTAGTCTTCTGTTTTAGCAAATGCCTGTGAAAAATTATTAATTAATTTCTCTTGTGCAATATATTTTCCATAATTAAGGAGTTTAAAAATCTGTATTCTTAGGCTTTGCAGGGCCTTGCTATAGGGCTTAACTTTTGTCCTGCATCCTCTAATTAAAAAAAAAAAATCTTGCTGTACTTGTTTACTGAAGTGATGTATCCATGGCAAAGGGAAGTATGTGTTTAGAATGTCTCACATGATTATGATATGTAATGAGAAAGGTATTCATTGCATAGCCTATTATTAAAAAAAAATATATATAAAGCAGTATTTTATCTTAAAATGTCTTGTACTTCCCTCTGCTGTGGTATACCGGTACCCAAAATGCTGGAGAAACTCCATATCAAATGGATGCAAATACACAATTACACTAAACTATGTGCTCACATGGAAACCCAATATAATTTTAACAGCATTCACTATACAGCAGATAAAAATTGGCCCCACAACCCACACAAAAAAGATAACTTACTCCTAGAATGAAATGTTAACATAGCACAATGCATAAATGCCATGGAATTACAGAACTAACTCTGGATCATTTCTAAAGTTCAGTACTTCTATATACCATAATCAATATCTCAGACAAATGGATTATGTTAATGCAGATCAGGTATTCATCGATCGAAAAGCTTAGGTCTATTAAAAGGCTAACTTTGATCGATTAGAAGTCAACAAAACAAAGCAATCTTGTTCGTCTACGTAATCTGTACGTGCATTGTCCTTCATTAATACACTTATGACAACACTCAAGAACCATTTATAAAGGTAAAGCTAGGATTCTAAATATCTTTATATATTTTAGCTTGTTAAGATAGACCCTTCTGATCAAATGTATTGAACGGAATATAGCCATATTATGCAGAATAAGTAAAACGGTAAGTTTAACGATCATTTTCGTACATTTGAATTAAAGTATGGTAACTCTCAGTGCAGTTTCAAAGAGGCATCAATGGTACATCGTTATAGTCGCAATTATTAAAACCAATGGGTTAGTTGGGGCAGGAGTGGTTTATCTACAACAAAGCATTATGCTTTTAGATTGTTGTTTCCTGTGGAAACTTAATTACTGTACAACCAAACTTGCTGTTATTCCGTTTTCTGTCGTGGTGAAATCGACAGACGATATGATGTATAAAAAGTATGCTTGCATTGTTTTACACAAATGTGGGCACATCAATTTAGGACTTGTTTTTTTACCATATTCTACCGCACCGTTCCTAATAATAGGTTTCTAACGCACACATGGCCTTCGATGCCCGTGGATACCGTGTAGCTAAAAAAAATCCCTTCCAAAAGATGTTGTGCTGCAGTTTTTGACTGCAATTTCAACTATTATGCTGCAATCCAAGATTAACTTTAGTAATGAAACTGAGCAAAGGATAGACATTAATGATCTTCTGGTTTTGGCACACAAATATGTTGTTCTTATGATTATTTATTTATTATAAGCAAAAAAAGAGCATTGGCTGTTGAATTAGTGTAACTAAATGTAACTATTTGGTCACTTACGGTACTTAATAGCATAGACCTAAGATATATATATCATTTTTATGATAGCCTTTTTTTTTCAAACACACTCTTTCCTCCCTTGATTATCAGAATTCGATAATATGGAAGAAAACGAGGAACTTGAAACCGATTCAGAACTGCTCCCTGATCCCGATGGAGAGGACAGACATAGACAAGACATCAAGAAGCCTCGGCAAAGTAAAGCGTACGTATCCGCTAAGATTCTTAATGATTGCGAACAAAGACGACTAGAGTTCAAATTATCTTACCTGGAAAAGGAATTTCGGAGTAAAACGAACATCATATCGTCTGAGCAAACAGCGTTGAAAAAAGAATTGATTTTTGTGAACCAGGGAAATAAATCTGATTCTGGAAAGGGATTTATCATTCCTCGGGGCATATCCAAAACTGAAGCAGATAAACTTAAACATAACCGAAGAAAAAACATACCTAAACCCAACCTCAGCTTATCATTATCAGAGTTTGATGCTAAGAAAAAAAAGACTCATGCCGCCAGAGAAACTTTACTAGCAAATAACAAGAAAGGTGATTCTGAAGAGGGCATTGAACAAAGAAATTGTGCAAGATTTAAAAAACGGCGCGGGGCAATTCAACTTGACAATCGACCATCAGGTTTTAATCGATTAGCACGAATGACAAATGACGAAGGTAGGCCTAAGTAGGCCTAAATTTACCTATGGCATTAAAATACTTTGGACATATCAAACCGCCTGGAAGAAATGTAAAGAGACAAGAGAAGAGGTGGTATACCACGGAAGCGCTGGTGAAATAGTTATGGTTAAAAACCCAGTTTTTTGGCCAAAGTAGCAAAAAATTATTTACAAAGGTTTTTTGAGTAGAAACTATCTAAGAGGGTTTCAAGAGCCATCAAAAAAAGTTGGAACAATTTTTCCCATGGGAAAAAGAGTTATGACCTTTTATATAAAGGTTTATCTAACACTGAAACAGTAGGGGTAGTCGGTTCTATGCCACATATGACCCAAAAAACAGTTGCAAGAAAACTTTTTTTTCGGATGCTTTCTGTAACATAATGTCTAGAAAAGATGAATATGTATATTTTAGCCAAAAATTGCACAAGCATCAAGTGATTTTTTTCCAAGATGGCCACCAAAATGATGCCAAAAACTTTAAAATAGCCATAAATTAAGTTATTTTTGTCTCGGATGTTTTTTTTTTCTTAACTGAAACCAATTGAAAATTCATCTGATAATGATTGAATAATAAATTTCAAAAATTGAATAATTCCAAAAGTCATCAAAAATGGCTGCTATATTCATTTTTCATATCCGTAACCCATTAATTAGTAGTCCTATAATGGTGATTGCAGTGTCTACATTTTGTGGGCCATAGCATTTATAAATATCATTTAAAATATGATTTAATAAGAGCTTAAGTAAAATATAAGTAAATATCAAATTTGGAATTGTCTATATATACAGTGGCATGTCTAGGGAGTGTGTGTGTGGGAGGGGGTGGGGAGTGTTGGACGCTGTCCAAAAAAAAAAAACTTAAACTTACGCCTCCTTCACACTGCAAGCAAGAAAGTCAGCTCAAGTAGTTAAAATCATTGAATATTATCTTATTTTGCAACTTAACACCCACAGAAAAAAATCATTGAGCCCCACTGCACCTTTGCGTCTCCCATATCATCCACCTGTCACTTCTAGATACGCAACTGTCCCTATACAATTTATGATTAAATAATACTGTACTCTGCTGAGGCTATGGCCCACTGTTATAATGAGCATTTGCGTAGCATTTCCTAAAACTTTGCACTTCCTAAGTGTCTCGTTGTCAGTTATCTACTCCACAGAGACTGGACCAGAGCACTCAGAAATATTAATGTTCTGGGCTCTTTTAAAATTGATACGATTGCTACGGTTCTATATTCTTTAGATTTGTTAATACCACCCAATCCACGAGCAAACGTGTCGCTCCCATATGTGTAATACTCCTATAGTAGTGATAATACAATCCCACTGAAGCCAATATCAAGTTTGGTTACACAAAGAATTGGTTTGATTAATACCTATTAAAGATTAAATCCTACTCATGTGAATACCTACTAGTGCAAATAACCTGCTGAATCTAAGATCAAAACCTATAATTCCTACTCTAAATCCAAACCCTACAAAAGTTAAAATATTGACTGATATAAGAGTAAGTCCTGCTAGTTTAAAGCACCATACTACCAAGTGTTGTTCTATTAGAACACATAGATCCCTTGAGGCGGTTTTTCTGTGGAAGGCGCTATATAAATATATGACCACTGACAGTAAAACAGAAATATATAAACATGTTTATATAAATCATGTAGAAAAGACAACATAGACAGTAAAATGTTCTGGTTTAGGAAATATTATTTCTCCCAATCTCATTTGGGAGGAACTCTCTCTCAACCCCTTACCCCAGCTCAGGCCTACGACCTCAAGTTTCCCCTATCGGACTTATGTTAAAAAGGGTCAAAATTACTCATAGTCGATATCGAACAATGTGCTGCTGCAGCCACTTGTTTGTCAAAACGTAACAAAACATTCCCTGAAAAAATCTACATTCACACTGTACTTGGAATGCCTGTCAAATGAAATGAACCACAATTTTACATTTTATAAAAAAATTGTACTTGGAATGCCTGTCAAATGAAATGAACCACAATACGTTAGGCCTACATTTTATAGAAAAATTCCACTACCACAGCCTACAGTATACTGTATCTGAGCAAGAGCAGTAGGCCTACACTGAAACAATGCAAGAATATCCCAATGACAGGAGCTGTTATGTATACAGTAGGCTACTGTCAATTTAATTAATACGCTGACATATTTTATATATTTAGAATAGAATAGGAAATAAACGATGCAGCACTTGCAGGACTGGCGCCAGGATTTGGCCGACTAGGTGTCCGACGACCCCCACGCGGGAATGTCCCGACGAAAAGAAGTGGGCGTGGTCAGGCGTCGATCAAAATCTCTCGAAAGTGTTCTAGGGGCGAAAAATATGACAACTTATGGGTTTCAAAGGGTTATTTATTTGATTTTAGAGTACTATACTAATATATAAAAAATACATATTTCCCCCTCCCAGTAATTGTAGTTTTTCTCCACTATGGGGGCCCTGCCGCCCCTCCCCCTCCCCAACCCACTGGCGCCACCCCAGAGCGATTATGTACGATTGAGAGCTCAGCTCAAAAAATCACGTTTGGTGCGAGCCTTGTCTTCAATATTTTAGGGTTATCCTCAGTATGCCCTTGTTCATGTATTTGTTGTCTGTCACTTTTAAAGAGTACTGTATATTGAATAAATTAATTTAAGAAACATGAAAATACTACAGCAGTCACTCCATAGGTGCACAACTCCACCTGTGCCTGAATACCAAACAATACGCAGGCCATGTATGATAGGAGAGCCATTATTTTCCGCTCTCTGCATGACTCCTGAATACCGCCATTCCTTTTTCTTTTATGCTTAGGGTAGAAAAAAAAATTATTTCTGTAAACTTGACCTTTGACCTTTTATACATACTTTTTTTGGCTGAGGTAAACAATGGAAGAGCTTCACAGGAATGAAATATTCTCCTTGAATTCCCACCTCTTGCATATTGTTGCTAACGGCCAATGAAATGACAATCATAATACAGTTGCACACTTGTGTTTGTGTTACAGTCCTGGCAAAGCCTACAAGCTTTGATTAGTCAGTTTTTCAGTTTTATTGGCACTAACAAAAACTCTATTTTCCTAACTTGTTTTCTTTTGGATGCACCTTGAGCAAAGTTTGTCAAGACTTCATTTAAGGTGTTGATATCCTGTGTGAAATATGACTTATGTGCACCATACACATTGCAGTATACTCTTTGGAAAGTGCAGGAGGTTGTCACTATTAAAGTGAACTACCAAACTCACCATTAGAAGAACCCTATTGGAAATGGCCTTCAGACATTCATCAGCTATTGCCGTGTTTTTTGTAAGTGCAATTGAATTTTAGACTATTAACAAAATATATAGAGATATCAGTAATTGATCGAACACAACAAAAGATAATTGAAAATCTTGGACCGATTTAATTGTAGATAGCACAACCAACAAAATTGACAATGACCCTTAAAAGGGGATGATAAGACGTTCACTACTGTATATAAACAAATATATCTCTGTAATATATTATTTGCAAATAAATTTGTAATTGATAGACCAGGGATTAGTTAAAGTAAATCAACAAGTCAACAAATAAATTATATATTTGATGTTGAAATATGAATTCAAGATAAATTTTTAATTTCATATTATTTATTAAATAAATGTCTATAAAAATCAAATACTGAGAATTATGAAATCAATAAACCAATAAGTAGTGGTTTTGCTTTTGTTGATGAATACATTTCTAAACAAAATGAAATGTTTAGATTTTATTGAATGCTACTACATCCACACTCTGGACCTGAAAGATACAAAAAAAAAGTTCAAGATAAATAATATAACAGTAATTTGTTCAATGATTTAGTATGCAAAATTATAATAATACTAACAATTCCACACTGATTGATAAAGTTTAATTTCCAATTCTCAATGCCCTTATGCAACAATTTGCTGGGTCTTTTGTAGCCATAGAGTACTACAGAGTTACATCACAATACCATGTGATACTACTCCGTTGCTATTGTTACAAAATGCGTTCACACACCAGCTAATGGTCAGCAGGATCCAGAATAAGATGATAATGGGATCACTGGCAAATAAGAAACTGGAAATTGGAAATACGTATGTGTGATTGATAGAAACGTACTTAACTTGCTAACCGATAGCCCTCACTAACCGATAAATGTGGTAACGGTTAGCAACTTTTTGGGAGGCCCAGTCAATCTGGAGGGCTCATTATTAGGGAACCCATGCCATTATTGAGGGCCCATGATAGTAATGTGCATATGACAATTTTCTTGTAAAAGTTTAATATGGAGGGCTTAATACCATTAGTATTTCTAGTGTGAACCTTCACAGTAACCATAATAGTAAACCTGCAGCAGACACCCACAGATAAGAAGTAATCAAAAACAAGATAGACAATGCCTGAACTTGTCATTGCGTTCAGTTGGTCTTTGCTTTTTGAACACTAAATAGCGCATGGTCTATAAAATCAATTTAATCTGTGTCTAATCGAACTTTGGCCTCACTCTAAAGTTTGAATCCTGTTTGAAGAGGCTATTTCACTCTGGAATATTTCATTTATCTTTTACCATTTAAAACTATTAATAACCTTTGAAAATTTTCTTTTTTATACTTATCATTTTAAAACTTTTTTTTTTTTTAAAACAACTTACATAATCTTCTAAAGCTGTAATTTCTTCTTCAAGGAAATCAGTACCAACTTTATCATCTTCCACTACGCATGATATTTGCAGCTTTTTTATCCCATAGGCAACTGGCATTAATTTACCTGTAATATTGAAATGTGTAACATCAAGGATTTAAGCAAAAATATAATTTGGGAGAAAATACATTCAATTGAGAATAAATTTCATTTTCATATTTTAATTTCAGCTCAATTTATATTGAATAACACCAAATCATCATTACCACCACCACAAATGTCATGCACAAAATAGACTTTATCACATACTTAATATATACAGTACATAATTTTGATGTAGGTTTACCTGTGCCCCACTTAAGTCCATCTGTTGAAACTTCACGCACCTGCCTCTCCAGCTCAACCATGTCCGTTTCATCATCCCACTTGAAAGGTAAACGAAACAAGACAAACAATTATTAAAAAATTTGATTCAAGCTTTCAATATAAAAATTAAATTTACAATTATTACAGTTGCTGTCACCATTAACTTCCCTACAGTAGCATACTGTATCTCTTTGGATTGGAAGTGGAATCCTTCTTATGGTGAATTGGGAAGTACACCCGGAGAAATCCCTACTCTTTTCCTTGTGCAAGTGCACATTAAAAACTTGCACTTAAGCCCTCCAGCTGAAATACCTCTTTAACATCCATCAGTCACAGGGATTGAACCCAGAACCCTGGGACTGGAGAAGCAAGCATCCTAACCTCCAAGCTACAGCTCCGCTGCTGAAGCATGACGACAGTAACAGACCAGGATCCAAGGATTTGAGCCGATCTTAAAAGTTGAGCACGCATAAAGTGGTTACCACTCAGTTTAGCAGAGTGAGCTAAACTTATTACACGTCATGTCATCTGGAATCGTGGGTTCGAGTCCCACCCGAGAACAACTCGGTTGTTCTCGGATGGGATTTTTTTCGCAGTTGTTTTCAAATGTACTGAGTATTCCGTACATTTCCATGTCAGGTAGGGCAAAAATTACACCTATACATGTCATTGTAGTTATCATTACTAAAATTGGTATTGGTTTATCAATTTAAGTTGCTACTATAAAACAAATTCCTAACTAATCACTAGTCTAGATGCAATACTTTTAATATGATCAGTTATTTCAAATTAAAGGAAAGTAATTATGAAACACAAATAATATTATTGTTACAACAAGTACAAAATTCAATAAGTTATGGGCACATACCGGTTTCACATCAAGAATAATGTTGGATTTAGCAATCAATGCTGGCTCTGTAAGAAACAGAAAATAAAAATTAATCCTTTAGAATTTGCCACGAACTAAATACTTCTGAACATCACTTCGAATTCAACTGAGTGTTCTAGCGATCCAGCAATTTGCTCCAACTGCAGATTGGCTATACAGTTTGCCCTCTAATTCGAGACCACCATTGGGACTTAACAATTTAGGGTGGTCTTGGGTTTTGGTCTCCACATAGAGGGTTAGCTTAGTGTTAATAGATTGAAGATTGTTATTTGGTTCTTAAATTGGTCTTGAATTAAAGGGGTCTCGATTTGGAGGGTGTACTGTAGCTTGTTCAGGGTCTACTTTAATCCATACTTAGCTGTGTAACAGAAACTACTAAATCATACAAAATCCATCAAAATACTGTACGATACAAATAAAAACTCATTTTCAAGTGTCAGGATTAATTCACAAATTTCAGCGCATAGGTTCTTGACCCATTAATAAGCAGAGTTTTTACTGCTGTAATACCATAGCCTGTGTGCATTTGTATATAAATGAAGCTTTGCATTATACAGTCGAGTCCGCCGAAGTCGACTCTGTTTAAGTCGAAAATTCGCATCAGTCGAATTTTTGAAAAAGTCCCAATTCTTTCCTATGTATTAGTGTGTAAATTGTTTGTTTAATTCAAATTTTTATAAGTCAAATTTCGGCTATATCGACAGAATTTTCCAGTCCGGATAGGCCGATTTTAGAGTAATTTCAACCACACAAGTCGAAGTTCCAAATTTTTTAGTGCATGTGGGAAAATACACAGCCGTGGGGAAAATACAAAGTTCTTGTTGTACGGCAACAAGTTAGCCAAGTCAAAACTAACATCTCAGACAGCGCGATGTGGAACTTGGCTTACAAGATCGTACGTCGTAAGTTGCAGTCTAATCTCACAATACAGACACCCTTCCGGACCGGCTCCAATGTTCAGTTTGTTGTCCAGTTCAGTTTATAGAACTTGCATAACTGAACCCATTTTGGACAAGATTGTTGTAGTCAGGGCCTAGCTATTTAATTAATTTATCAAAGCCCTGGATTCTTTTGACTAGGCCTAGCCTAGCCTATGCAAATTCAACACATTATTTAATAATACGTAGAGTACCTGTTGTTTTGCTGTACTGCTCAGCAATTTAATTATTACCAATAAAATTGATGCGATTTTTATATTGTTTTTGCATGCATTTCTTTAGGTCTGATTATGTTTTTCCAAGCACACATTCTTCGTTGGGCAATGCCACTTGCTGGTCGGCAGTCTAGTTGTAAACAAAATAGGTCGCGCCACCAAAAACTCTGCCTGCACACCAATTGGTCCATTTTCGTGGGGTGTTTTCCACTAGACATGTGCTTCGGCTGGGATGACGTCAGATCGCCCAAAGTTTCATAGTGCGTGACCGTAAACAAGCTCGGTGTAATCATGGAGTTGTTATAGTGACTAACAACTCCATAGTGTAATCAAGAATGTTTTTTTACACAAATTTATAAAACAAAGCAAAAAAACAAATAAGAAACCCTCATGGTATTATTTTAGAGTCAAACCTAAATAAACCTAACAAATTAGATTTTATTCTCTACAAATTTCCTCCGTAATAAAATTAGCAACATGCTTTGAATAGCATCTTGAGGTGCATTTGCAATTTACACTGATGAATCTAACGAATTTGAATTAGACGTCTACTGAAAAGAGTAACCAGTAGGAACTTGCTTTGTTGAGTTCCGTCTTTATTTCAGGTTGATTCCAAATGGTTTTTAAGGATTAAAAGCAAGAATATACACTAATTAAAACATTTGAATGCGTACCTAAATTTCACTTCATAATTAACCAACTAAACGTCTACTGGCGTGTCATGTTAATCAACAGATAATCTCAATGGCAATGCGAGTACAGCTAAGCGTCTCGGTTTCACAGCGTGTGGTATGCTTGTCGTTAAACAGTAGTATTGTTCTATGTTAATATATTTTTTTTTTTTCGAAAAATTTGCAAGTCGAAATCTGTATAACTCGATCTTTTTATGCCAGTCCCATTAGATTTGACTTAGGCGGAGTCGACTGTATTACAACCAAATTAGGAATGAATAACTGTGACTCAGGATGATTAAATTTTTAAAAGCCAACAAAGGATGAATGCAGACATAAAGCTCTATCCAAATATCATTTTAATTGACAAATACATGTGAATTGCCCATATATGGGTATGATATGACATCACCATGTACAGATGGATGTGATGTGCCATCACGCTCATATATGGGCAATTCCCATGTGCCGCATATAATCTGATAGTGTGGATTATAGCTTAGCATTATGTTTTCTTACTTTTCGCTTTCTTAGCAGCATAAGCTGCAAGCCTTTCTGCTTTCAGTTTTGCAACTTCTTCAGCCTGCGAACAGAATTAAAACAGAAATCAGCTTTCAGAATCTGTTAAAATGCTCAATATCATCAATGCTTCTTATCACAAATTCTTTTTATGAAGCTTAAGGCCTGTTTACAGTAGCAACGATAATGATAAAAAAGCTAAAAACAATTATTCATACAGAAAATAAAAGAAATAAGAGAAGGTTTTACACTAGGACGATTTGTTAACGAGTTATCATGTATACACTAACAAAATTCTTGAAAAATCAATTCAAATGATTAATAAAATCATTGTTACTTCTACGATTTTATCGTTTTTCAATGATTATGACGTCATTTGAATTGATTTGTGAAATTATTTTTTAATGTATATAAGATAAGTTGCTATCGAATCAACCTAGTGTAATAACTTCTCATATTTCTTTTATTTTCTATATAAAAAAAATTGCTTTAAAGTTTTTTATTGTTATCATTTGCAGAGTTGTTTTTATTTGTGAGAAACAACCCCACAGTAGTCAGGGTTTAAACACAGGACCCTGACCCTGGGGATGGAAGAAAAGCCTCTTAATCACCACCTATTAAACTGTACTGCTACCACTAAATTAGCCAACTAAACCAGTCAAAAAACAAAACAAAAAAACAAAACAAAAAAGGATTTGGTAAATTTGATGGTCAAAACAGAGCTTCTCAACACCTCCCCTCCCCACCATGGGATTTTTACACCTGTTCTTAGGGTAAAAGCCTGAGCTGATGAGAATCTGAACTCATTCAAATTTGAACTTACATCTTCATCATCGGAATCATCAAGATTAAAGTCGTCGTCGTCGTCATCATCACCTGCCGCTTCCACTGCTTTAGCTGCCTCCTGCAAAGATAACAACATTGTACATTTCACACATGTACATACATGTACAGGTACATGTAAAAACAATTGTGCATTGAAAACAACTATACACAAATATATTATATATATATCTTAAACTTGTTCTTTAAAGACCTGTTCTCAATGTTTTTCTGATGGTGAACAATTTTCAGATCTCTCAATTCGAGGCAACCCATTGAATTTATTGCAGGCAAGTTTGTGAGGGCAGTATAGACATACAAAAAAATTCTCAGTTCAATTTTACGTAATGATTACTCAATACTCACTTCTTTTGTTCCATTTACTTGAGGTGTACCTGCTGATTTTTCCAGGGCTGTTACTCGTGCTATTAGCATGGATACAGATGCTCTTAAATCCTCCGTCACTAAAAAAAAAAAAAATAAAAAATAAAAACCTTTAATGAGTTGTTAGTCAAAATAGTCAAAAAACATTAACAGTAATATATCTGTCTCTTATACGTTTTACAAACAATGAATGCCATGATTCTGTAACTAAAAGAGAGTACCTCTGCAACAAATGGACATCTTGTAATATCTGCAAATTAAACTAGTCCTTTACCTTGCCGCAAGAGTTTGTTTTCTTTTTCAACAGCTTCAATCCTTTGGTTTGAAACACCAGCTGTATCCACACCAATGCCTACGCTCAACCCTACACCCTAAAAAAAAATATTAAACAAGTTTGGTTTAAAGAGAAAAATAATAGAAACCTTAACATCTAAAGAGAAGGCCAACTAGATTGTGAACATTTCAGTCCAAATTATAAAAAAATAAAAAATTAACAAATTTACTTTTATTTCAGAAAAATACTTGAAACTTTAACATCTAAAGTGAAGGTAGGCTGCCTAGATTGTGAACATTTCAGTCAAAATTATAAAAAATAAAATATTAACAAGTTTGGTTTATTGAGAGAAATACTTTAAACTGTAAGACCTAAAGAGAAGGCCAACTAGATTTTTAACGTTTCAGTCAAAATTATGTTTGCAGCAATAATCTGCTACTACACCAGATTGAATAAAAATAAAACAATTTAACACATTTAGTTCTAAATAGCAGAATGATATTATCAACAATGCACAAATCCACATTTATATATATATATATATATATATGATATATTTACATTACACATTACAATACATTTGGGTAATTCCATGTCAAATCAACCAAAAAAGAAACCTCAATCTCTCGGAATTTGTTCAAATTTTTGTATGTTGTTGGGACCCATGAAAAATGATCAGAAATGGAAAATTTTTTCTCTAGGCCTCCTAATTAGCGAGATATCTGCTAACGAACTTTTGGCTATTTTAGCGATACCTTGCGTGTTTAACCGACCATATCTCGAAAAGTGTGGCACCTACAGAGCTGATTTTGGTGTCATTTTAAAGCTATTGAGTAGCTCTATAACTTTATTAATAAATGCTAAGTCCTCAATTCAAATATAAAAAAGTTACGACAGGTTGTAAAGTTCAAAGTTGAATAAAAAAATATATATCTTTTTTTTTTTTAAAATTCATGTTAGAGATACCTAATGATGTAAAGAAGCTTCCCTATAAGTTTGGTGATGGGCGCTCCAAAAGTTCCTGAACAATGAGCAAGTATTATGTATACTTGTCAATTCGAAATTACATTTTCCGTATAATAACACAGTATTGTACCTATATAGGAAAACCAATAGTACACCATACTGCTTAGTTTTATATGTAGGTTTGAGAAAATTAAACTTGCATCACTTGAAAATTCTCAGGTGGAAATTCCTTGGGATTTTCCAGGTGGATATTTCTTTGAATTTCAAAATAGGAACCTGGTATTCCCATTGGAAAATCCCAGATTAGCACTGACCTACAGTATCAGGATTTTTCAGAATAGTTTCTGAAGTCATTTCAAGATGTCACAAAGCAAGACTCATTATATATTAAGGCAGACGTTCTGCTTTGATCCATTTGGAGTACATAAAAAAAAGAATAAATCAGGTTTAAGGGAAGTAACTGAAAAGCTTATTGCAGACCATCCAAATCTTAATCTTAAAAGAGGACAGAAGATTTGCACACAATGCCGCAAGAAGCTTGCAAAACAACAGCCAGAATTAAAAGTGTGTGAGTTACCTTTACCATCTGTAACTTTAACTAGCAGTAGTGAAGATGATGGCAATGGGAATGTTCCTGGTTCTTCTATGGATACTGAATTTCACACCTCTGTGAGTGACCTACAAACATTGAATAAGTCTTTGGAACTAATAGGTGAATCACCTGTTGACAAAAAACTACTACAAAGGGACAAGTATGTGAAAGGTAAGACACGGAAAATTGGTGAAAGTGTCTCGAAAAAGTCAATGATCGAATTCCAAAATGATGGTCAGGAGATGATTCAGCAACTGAAAGACAAATTTAAATCAACTGACAGAATAAGTGAAAAGCTTCAGGTGCTGACAATTTTACCAAAAAGCTGGACAATTCAGAAGATCCAAGATGAATTAACTCTTACTGCAGATACCACAGTTAGATGTAGACATTGGTAAGGGAACAAGGAATTCTAGCAATGCCTAACCCCAAGTCAGGTAAATCTATTTCTAAAGAAACTGGGGAAGCCGTCGTACAATTCTATTTGTCGGAGCATATTAGCAGGCAAATGCCTAGTATGAAATACTATGTGTCTGTGCTTGTGGATGGGAAAAACAGCATCTACAAAAGCATTTGGTTCTTTGCAATCTTAGAGAGGCTTATGAACAATTTAAGGAGACGCATCTAGACAGCAAAATTGGTTTTTCTAAATTTGCGGAATTGCGCCCAAGGCCTGTCTCTTATACACATCTAGATGTGTATAAGAGACAGACTTTTATATGGCTGAACAATTTCTTTTTGACTTTTCTTTTTGACTTTTCTTTAATGTCCCTTTTGAAAATTTGAATTGTCTTTTTCTTAGTCTTTTTTGTGAACTTTACTGTACATATTGTTTTGGACGCACCTTCGATTGAGAAGTGTGCCACTGATTGAAAAGTGTAGTTCCTAATAAGTTATTATTATTATAGTACGCCCGCTATAAACTCAGTAAGCAGAAAACAAAAGTACTGTGTCTTGTGGAGAACAGATAAACAGACAAACAGACCGTGCGCGGTGGAGTACTGGGTAATAAAAAGTACCTACAGTACAA